GATTATTTTCAGTTTTATATTAAAGCTTATACAATTTTAATTTCCAGACATTTGTTTTAAACACTTTAAAATTTTAGAACAAAAAATCAGTGGACAATAAAAGACTAAAACAATCTGAAGTTAGATAAATTGCCTATAAATGATAATTATTAGCAAAGACAGTTAAAAAACAGTTAGTAATAACCTAATAATAGTTTTCTTTTTTAAAATTAAATAGTGTTTTACTATTTAATTTTAATTTAATTAACAATTAATTAAATTCATAAACTAATTTTTATAAAATAAAAGACAGGTTAATAATAATAATATTTTACATCTGTAGACTAAGGGTAAACTCAAAGTATTTTAGTGATATACAGTAGATGTAACAAGGCTCTTCCTTTAACTTTAAAACCATACCAAGCCATTTCAAATTTATGGCTAACTTTTTAATTCTGTTTTTATCGTTTTAAATTTTATGACAAAAATATGGAAGCTATTTCAAAAAAGTAATTCATAAACTTTTTTGCATCTGATAAACTGATCTGAGTTATATATAATTTCATGATTAATATTTGCCTGATAAGACACTGACGTCTACAATCATCATCAATATAAATTATTTTGCCATTTAATGACGGCACTATTTTATTCATTACTTGGACTGTAGTTATCAGTAGAGAGTTTAGATAAAATTATCTTCAGAATCATATTTTGCCTTTAAATGAAGATAAATTTGAACATCTAAGTGTTTTAAATTAAATTATGACTAGAAATTAGCAACACTGATTACCCAATATACATTAAATTCATTCACTTTTCCAGTAAATATTAGGCTGTTCTCATTAATTTATTGAAACTAGTATAACTATTAGTACTGTAATAAAAATAAATAGGAAATAATTTGGAACTGCATTTCAAAACTATTTTTTCTTGATTTCATTAATATAAATACTTTAATCAAAATATATATTTACATACATATATACATACATGTAAATATGAAATATTTCTAAAGGCTATATATAGTATCAGATATTGGAAGGATATATAGGAACTTACATATCCTTTCAAATCTTTGCAGCTTACTTTTTTCCTGTCTTTCTGCATAAGCAGAATATTTTTATCTTGCTTCCTTGAATATTTATGATAAAAATTATATATTGCAAGAAAAAGATTAAAAAATTCTAAGAAAGCTTAGTGTTCCTTTATTAATCTTAAAAAATAATAATTATAAGAAATGATTTTAAATTATGCAATGCAACTGTCTGTGAATTTGATGCACAAACACAGAAGTTAAAAATAATGAAAAATCAGCACCTTAACATTGAGGGACGATATCTCAGAACTATTTTTGGTACTTATTGGTTAGCAGGGCACCAGTAAATTGATGCAATCTAACTCTAACCTAAACCTAAACTACCCATTTGGGAAATCCTCTCTGAACCAATTATCAACCTAATACACGAGTTGGATTGCATCAATTGATTTGCACCCTTCTAACCAGAAAGTACCCTATTTTTTTATTGTATATTCTTTTCACAACAGATCTGAAGTCTTTTTATACCCAGTTAATGTTTTCTTTTAACAATTTTTAATTATACTTTTCAAGAAAAATTTATTTTAATTTTGCAACTGAATGGTATGGTTACTCATTATGGATATTCTTCAAATTTTTAATCATCATATTTTTGTGCACAACAGACAGGTTACTAGTATTTAAAAACAATTTAAGAAGGGTGCAGGTTATGCACTGATTTCAAATTGCAATTACAAACTCACACCTATGAGTAATGGCTCCTCCTGCAGGGTATAAGGTAGTGAGTGTGAGTTATTTTCATTCCAGCATTTTTGCATGGATATACACCAGGGCTTCCCAATGGAATCAATGAAAGTTTTCTTGAAAGGGGTTCAACAAACAAATTAGATAAATATTGTATATGCAATATATAGTATTTTATTAGTATTTAATTAAAAAAAACAAAAACACAGAAAAAGAAAAAATATGTAAATATGTATATATATACATATATTTTTTTTCTTTTTCTGTGTTTATATATATATATTTTCTTCACACAAAACACACAAACATATATATATACATACATATGTTTGTGTGTGTTTAAGGAGGTTGATGAAAAATTTTTTTCTTAAAGGGGTAAATATACAAAAATGGTTGTATATACCATCACAGATTAAACACACAAAAATATAGTAGATCTTACAAACATATCTGTTTTTAAACTAATAAATATACAGGAAACCCACCTTATTTTGAACTTTAGTTCAAAATAAGATGGATTTCCTGTGTAAAAAGATAGCTCAAAATCATGTTAGTTCATAACTATACTTTTGTCCTAGCTGGGGATATAAAGATTTACACATTAAGGAATTTGGTTAGTTCAAAATATGACTATTTTAAAATTTGAAGTGAAAACTCTATCCAAATTATGCATATGTTAACTTGTTCATTTAGACTGAACTGCCTACATACTATGAGATTGATAGACCAAGAACAAGCTAATCTAGTCAACTTGGCTTTGCTTTTACAGTAATACAGTTTTGTGTGCCACCTTATCTAGAGAATACCCTTTTTTATTTATCTACTAAAATATTGTTGGGTTTCAGGATTGCAAGATTGAGCTACAAGTAGCAAATTAAAATATTTTAGTGTTCTAGACTATTAGATTTGGGTGACTTACTACTTTTTGGGTCACTTAAAAAAATAATTTGGGCTATATTTTGAAGAATTCTGCTATACTTTTTATAAAACTTATCAGAGACCTGTTAGGCTCTAATGGGACACATGCTGTTTACCTGCAATTTATTATTATTATTTAACAAAAATAGCATTCTGTATACAGAGCTATATTCCATTTGCTTAATAAATTACATGATATTTAGCATATTGTAAAATATGTCAAATGTCATGTAATAAAAGAAAAAAGGTCCTTGGGTGAGGTAACACCCGAAAATGTGTTACTATAAAAAGGCATTTGTATATATAAATTACATGACATTTGGCATATTAAACACAAATATGCCAAATCTTGGATAATTCAAAGTTGCGATTATTTTGTCCCTTAAATTTCAAACTAATGAGAATTCCCTGTATGTTATCATTATAAACAGGCTAGAAATTTAGGAAAATTTTACTGTTTATTCACAAGTTTGAATTACAGTAGTTAACAAACAAATCGGATAACAAACACTTTTGCGAAAGATTTTTATGATTGGACAACGAACACATGCTCGGATAACGAACACCACTGAACAAACACAAGAAGTGACGTAAAATAACGAATACCGATTGGTCTTCCTTTGTCTTCAGACAACAATTCGAAACTTTTTGGAGTGCGGAGAGATGTCGACATCGACGTTCTACCCAGTATATACTGATCGGATAGTATTCTCCCGAACTTTGACACTCTCCCTTGTAATTCCAGCCTTTTATATTTCTGACAGAAACAATTCTTTTACATTTTCTTCTGAAAATGCAGATTTATGCTGATATCTGCTATTAAAGATCTTTTGAAGAAGTGGTAGGATGTCAGAACGACAGTCTTAAAATGACATCCAAACCAGGTTGAGGTTAATAGGCCTAGGGATCTCTACAATTACAATGCTATTAATTACTTCTGAAAAATCATAAAGAAGACAGAAAAGCAATCGATATTGGACAGATTCTTTAACCCCCACAAACAGGAAGTACATGACTAATAAAAATGCAAGACCATGTATATATGTATTTTTATTATTACGTATGAATAAATGTAGTAAGAAAGTATATATTTTTTTATTTTTGGGGGGGTCTCCAGAACGAATTTATCAAATTCCCATAGAAACCTATGGTAAATCGATAATCGGTTAACGAACAAAGTCTTGGAACGAATTATGTTTGTTAACCGATCACCCACTGTATTTAATAATTCAACAGTTACTAAATCTGACAGATTAGTTAGTAGTCGAAACCACAATCAGTTGATAATTAGTTATATCAATTAACTAGATCTTAGCTTTATAGCTATCCACAAGAACATTTTATACCAGTATATTAATAAATTGTAGTTATAAAATTAGTATATCAGTCTGCAAGTATTTATTAAATATAATGTATAATTTGTCATAAAAAATTTTGAATTTTTGAAAAGTTGTAGCCTAGTAAGCTTAATTTAGAAATTTTTACAATTCAATATAAAGTTTATGAAGTGATAATGAATTATATTTCTGGTGTTCAAGTTATAAATAATTACCAAATTATTATTTAAGCAACATAAAACATATGATAAACAGCTGTCAGATTTATTAATCAGTTATTTAATATTTATGTATAAATTAGAAACAGATGATAAATTAGACATTTCGTCATTTGGTTAAGTTTTATCCTGCTTATTATCATTTTCATCATATTAAAATAATATATTAATACCAGTACACAAATAACGAGCAAGATATATGCTTTACATATATTATTGAAAACAACAAAAAAATTTTTTTTAACATTTTTACACAATTTATATTTTTGTAACGCACAAGAATATTTACACGTTACACGACTACATTGTGCAATATGACAAAGTCATAAGTGGATAATAAACCGAAAAGCCACACATTTTATTTGACAGAAGGCATTTTCTCAATTTATGTCGAAATTTAGAAACAATGCAAACAACAGATGTCCACAAAAGAAATTTACATATCAACTTCAACGCAAGATTTACATTTTAAAATCACAGTTTATTTAATGCTTCACTAACAACACCCCTTTGTTACTTACAAACACTTTGAATTTTTTTTTCCATAGAACTAGCAATAAATACCCAGAAAATAAATTCTAGATAATTATTACTTCTGTAAATTACTGAAATCAATGAAAAATTGTTATATATANAATTTTAAATTTTAATAATTTTTTTTTGTATATATTTATTAGCTTTTAATTTAAAATCGGTTAGAAATTATAATTTGTAAATTAATGATGATTTTTAATTAAAAAAAGTAATATATAAAACATTACTTACTCGTAATCATCATCATCAAAGTCTTGTTGAGAAGACATTACTGTAAAGTACAACCCTCAATATTTGGGTTTGCTTATTTAATATAAATCTGCTTTGAATGAACCAAGTTATGGTTCTTATCCAATAAAATGGAAAATTCAACAAATTATCATAGATAAATATTTATGAACAATAGAAAACAATATTCCCTGTGTGTGTGTGACATAAACTAGTGTATCACACATCGACCATTGGGGAACAAAGAGATGGATATTTGCTTACGTTAACCGAATCCTATTTCCGAATCTTAACTAACAGAACGTTATAACTAATTTATTAATACATATATTTGCCTTTAAAATTAAAGTATGCATTCGACTTAAAGTTTTGAAATGGCAAAATATAAAAATCATTCGTGATTTTTAAACTTCCGCAACCAGGGGGCGGGATTATAATAATAATTGACCAGTTTCGCTTACGTTTATTGGTCAGTTGAGGTGAAGTCATAACGGTGTAGTCCAATAGTAAGTGTCAGTCGATGAAATATACAATAAGGTTATCGGGCGGATTTGTGATTTGGTGTTTTAATTTGTTTATCGCGCGTGATGATTTTTTAGGGTTTTTTAAATATGGAAATTGTATGTAAAATTTTGTTTGTATGACGATTTATAAGTTCGCTTAGTATTGTTTAAGGTTTTAATTTATAGCTGATTTTAAAAATATTTAAATATATTCCTAACTTAAAAGTTTTATGAGCAAATATTAATGGTTTAAATTTAGGTAGAAGTGACTTTTAGGTGTTTATACACGTGGGTAAACAAATGAACTAAAAGTCATTTCTACCGAATTTCTAATTGTGTTGAAAGGGTATTTTCAATTGGATTGATATCTGGCTATGTTAAATAAGACATTGATTCCAATTAATAGTAATTTTAATTATTTAATACTTTGGAAACAGAATCCATTCTCTCAATTATAATAAGTCTTTGAAGCTTCTTAACCTATTCAATTGTTGTACTTTTAAATCTCACAACTTGACAAATGTAGGACTTATAATCAACTACTCGAAACTGGATATACCTAATAATCAATGGCCCACCGGTGGCCAAGTGGTTCTATTCCCTGAACACTGGTAGTTTGGTCACGGGTTTGCACCTTGCCAGGATGGGCTGGCCATTTAGAGTTTTCTGTGATTTCTCCATGTCTGTAATGCCTGAATAGGGGCCAGTTTATCTTTAAAAAGACATCCCAGAAGGCATTTTCCCTAGGCAGATCACCCAATTGTTGCATTGCCATAACTTAACAAACTTAATAATTAAAGAGAATAAACCAATTTCCAGCATAAATTTATAAGAAAGCAAACATTTTCGACAGTGTTAAACAGGCAACTTTAGCCTAACTCTGCTGAAGATGCCTGTTTAACACTGTCAAAAATGTTTGCTATCTTAAATTTGTGCTGGAAATCAGTTTCGTTCGTTTTGTTTATTGTAGGACTAGTCATATAGAAGATCATGACAAAATTAATTACTTTGAATTGTTGTTTTTGTATGCATTTTCGGTCTAAATCACACTTTGACTCTTGACAGTTCTTTAAAAAACTGGTCCTGTGTAAAGTTACAAGGAAAAAGTTTTTTTATTGATATGACTAGTAAGTAGGCTTATAAGAACAAATGTATGTGCGACTAATACTACTAAAAAAAGTCCATGAGGACAATGCTGCTACCCCCTCTTCCCATCAGGTTCAATGATGTGCTTTTTGTTACCCTCTTCCTCTAAACTGTACACATAATTACTGGTTGTTCTGTTCTACTCACACTTATTACTACTGGAGTGGAAGTATAGCAACAAACCACCTTCTTTGTAGAACGTTTTAACAATCCCCCCCCAGTAGTTTATTACCTTGATAATGACTAACATTTTCGATCCTTCAACTGCATCTTCTTCAGGTCAAACATAAACGTTACATTTTTAAAAATGTTCTGTTAATTGAATGTGTCTACAGGTTAAATTCACTGGAACTTAATCTGTAGATACAGTCAATTAACAGAACATTTTTAAAAACATAACGTTTATGTTTGACCTGAAGAAGATCCAGCTGAAAGATCGAAAATGTTAGTCGTTATCAAGGTTTGGATCTACACTGGTTGTTCCTTTATTATATTTTAAAAGAACAGATCCACCCATATTTCTAAATATCATGTTAATACAATTTATTTATAATATAAAAAAATTATTAATTCTTATATATAAATATTTTTTCGTTAAAAATACTATTAATTCATATAGTACTGTATTTTTGAATGTTGATACTTGACAATGCAATCTCAAAAATTTCAAAAGATGATGACAATGACTTTGTCATTCCTTCATTTTGTTATCTATCGAATATCTATTTGTAATGATGTAAAGTTTTGCAATAATCTGTTACCTGAAAGTAAATATTGTAAGTTTTCCGATTTTGGGGGCAATACGTTAATTGCGCGTCAGGAAAACCTAGGGTCAAACCGTATATAGGTGGTGGCGGTAGGAGACAGAGATGACAAGTGTCTTACACGAAAACCGTTTATTTTGACATAAGGTTAACTTACATAACAGGAATAACAAGAATAAGTTTGAGGGACGTCCGCTGTTACACTTGTGGGTGCCCCGGGGCTTGGTCGAAGGATGGTCTGGTGATAATCGGGCGTGTCCAGTGAGGTGACGAGCGATGTCCACTGAATTGACGGGCGATGTCCGACGATGGGGTCCTCACTTCCTTCTTCTTAAGACGGCGACGGAGCTTGGGTGGTCGTATACGGATGACCTGGCGTCTGGGAGAGAATCAGCTCCGTGTCCTTGAGATTCGGGGGTTTTATAAGATTTTTCCCGAACCTCACCCTTCTGATTGGTCCCCTTCCTCCTCTCCCTTACCCTGATTGGTCACTCTTTTTGTTTCTAGGCGAAACCCGAGACCGATTCGGGTCGGGAAAAGGTTGGAGAGGTGATGACGGTCCTTTAACGTTCGCGCTCGTATTTTACTCCGTTATGTCCCTTTTCTCTGTCATCTTTGAACCCAAACGGTCCACCAGAATGTTCTTGTGGCTGCGTTCTTACTTAACAGATATCCTTTTTGTTCTTAGACCCCCCTTTCTCCCGCTTGCTTCGACCCGATATTTGTTCGCGCGCATCCCGACAAAGCTCTCTCTCTCTGTCGACATTCTCCCGTTATTTATCATCGCGTCGTGTTTGTTTTACAATTCGAGAAAGTTTTCGTCTCATCTGGGCTTTGTCACTAACACATCCCCTTGACCTGATTCTATCCTCAAAACTTTCTGCTGTTAAAGTTTGTAATTAGTCGTATTTCCGACGCGCTTTTACGACCCTCACAATATCAAGCCAACATAAAAAATAGGCCAAATAATAGATTTGAAATATTTGATATTTTTTATAATTATTATTAATAGTATTTATAATTTAAAACCAAAATAAGTATTCGTCCTCATGGTTATCTTATTTTTTAAAACAGAGTGATCCAACCTGTTTCAACTAATATTTGGTAGATCAAATCCAAATCCTGATCTTATATAATTGGCTTGGTGTCACTGTTATTTAGTAGTAGGGTATTTTTCCAAATGCGATTTGCTATGTTTCACAAATAATCAAGCCAGATTTTTTTTATCAGGCTTCATTTTAGTTAATTAAATATAAAAATGCTATGTAATTTGGACTAAATGTAGGCAATTAAGTTGCCGTCTTGTATGAAATTTAATAATTAGAATTAAATAAATTAGAATATTTTGGAAAAAAGATTGATTCAGAGAGTAATTTGAACCCACAACTTCTGTTTACCTTGCAAATGCATTGATAATTATGATCTTTCATTCCAGACTTTTCTTATATGATTGTCTGGTCATATACCACTTTTGTGTGCTTAACAGCAGAGAATAAAATGGCTGTCCATATAATTGTTTTTAAAATGTTTCACTATCTGTTCTAAATTTGTCAATGAAATGCCTTAAACCAGTTTTTATATTAAGTTTATTGATATTCTACTTCATTGAAAGTGTTGTAAGCTATTCATTGGTAATATTGACAAATTTTAGCTGATTTGAATTAGTGTATTGCTGATAAGATATAAACATACTGTGAATGAAGTTATTATATAAATAAAATCTGCCTATACTGCATTCACTATTATTTAAAAATTAAAAATGTTGTACGTTCCACCTAGTCATAAAAAAAGGCTTCTTTGGTTAATGACTTAGGGTGCAACTATGCAGACATGAATTTTCCAAGTGAGCAAGAATATGTGGCAAGAAGAGGTGATGATGTTTCATGCTGTTTTCACGTTTGTGTGGTCGTAATAAACAAGAGTGTGAAACTACCTCTTTTCGCCACACATTCTTGCTTGCTCGGAAAATTTGCTCACTCGCTCGCATCTGCACAATCGCATCCTTATGATTAAAACTACAGTTTGGCCCTAAACTGAAATTAGTTGGAGTACTCTAGTTTAGGACAATCTGAAAAAGATAGTCATGATGTCCTATTAGTAACAACTTTTGTAAAAGATTAGTAAATGTTAATTAATTAATTTTATTTACAAGTATTATAGGTTTATAGGTATACAAGTATTATAGGTATTATAGTGCAGAATGGCAAATTTTGCCCTTAAAGGCAAAATTTGCCATTCCGCAAAATAACATAACAAAACCCATTAAAATCAACAAAAAAAATTACAAAATTTTGCCACAATAACCAAGTAAAGAAAAATAAAATTCTTTTACAAAACAGTTAAACTTTTCATTGATTTTTATAAATTTAATATTTGATTATATTAATTAATAACTTTATGGTGGTGATAGAAAAAGGATTTGGTGGAAGTGGAAATTTAATTATTGTTTTGATGTCTGATTGTTTATATTTGTTTAATAAAAATATTTTGATTTTATTTTACAAAACTGTGTCCTTTTCCATGTTTTTGACTTATTAAACACTAATTGTTCTAGTGTATTTCAAAGACACAAGGCAAGTTTTTCATCAGTTATTATTTTGATTTGATTTTAATAGATCAGAGTTTCTAATATTGTTTGTCAACTTTTCCAATACCAGATTTAATTTGTTGATCTCTACCTACACTAATACAAAATAAAAATTGCTTTTTTTATTCTTCCTATATGAAATTTAATGTAAATTGAGGATTATTTTTGTTTGTATTTAAAAATATAATGAAAATAAATTTGTCCATTAACCTCAAAATGAACTTGTAGATAAATTGATTAAGCCCTCATATAACTAACAACGAGGTTGAGGATCCCTGATTTATACAATGAACAAATTGCATCTTTTTCATATTTATTGATATTACACAAATGCATATTTAACTATTTGAATGTTAACTTTTATTAATAACCTAACTAGTTACTTAAATTTTAGGGCTTATCACACCAGTGAATATGATGATATAAAA